TTGCGTTTGCCAGGCAGGCGCTTTGCCGCTGAGCTAAATCCCCTTTCTTGGTCTTTGAATGCACAGTAAATCCAGACGCTGGAGCTCAATGGTAAGACAACCTTAGGAAGTGGATTTTTTTTTTTTTGGTACTGGGAATCGAACTCAGGACCTTGTGAGTGCCAGGCAGGTGCTTGTGCCACTGAGCTATATCCCTGGCTCTATAGGAAGTGGAAAATAATCATACATGAGCATAATAATCCGTCCAGATGCTTAGCTCTGTTTCTAAGCATTTCTTTTTACCCCACAAGCAAGCTTTGAAAGAAATTGACCTACATTTTAAGTGTATTTTTAAGCGGTCATGTAGCGTGCCACAGTCTTTCAAATTCGTTAAAAATAGAAATGCTCTTAGGAATTGAACGGCTTTATAGTTGGAGAAGGAGAAGTCTGTGACCGACTAGGTTCAGTAATTCATGTGTCTCCAATTTGTATTTGAGTCATAGCGTATTTTTTAGAGGAGCAGTAAAATAATGTTTTCTCTCTGTCCCCTTCATGCAACTGATACCATAACACGCACTCTCACAGTGAATTATCTACTCAGGGAATGGGCCAGATAAATGACAGAGGCTGCTGTCGAATACCTGCTGCCTCTTCTTTTTTATATTTGCCTTAGAAGTTACTTAGAAATTCTAATCAAAGCCCGGCGTAGTGGCTCACGCCTGTAATCCCAGCTCTCGGGAGGCTGAGGCAGGAGAATCTTTGTGAGTTCGAGACCAGCCTGGACTACAAAGTGAGCTCAAGGCCAGCCTGAACTGCTTAGCGAGACCTTGTCTCAAAAAGACAAAACAAAACAAAAAAAATTCTAATAAAAGCAGACCTACATCTCATATAAACAGAGAGTGACTGTGTGCTTTACACTAGAGCTTTTCCCACCACTAATGACTGTATTGGAGAAAGAAGTATTGAGGGGTGAGTTATATTTTCTCTTACTTGGAAAGGGGTTTTGCAGGGCCGGGGATATAGCTCAGTGGTACAAGCGCCTGCCAGGCAAGCGCAAAGTCCTGAGTTCAATTCCCAGTACCAAAAAAAAAAAAAAAAAAAAAAAAATAGGAAAGGGGTTTGCCTGCCTGAGAATTTAGGCCTTCAGGTTGTTGGCAGAGAATCACATAGCCAATTTCATGAAGTGCAATTCACATAAAAACTCATTTTAAAGCAGATTAAATTCCTCTGGAATTGAAGGAAAATTCTGCAGTGAAAAGAAACTTGCTCATCCTACAAAAGACCAGGTATTTTCGGTTTGCTCGCTTTGTTTTTTCTTTATTTGCTCCTTGGTTTTAGTTAAATTTACTTTAGTTCAGGTAAAGCTAACATAGAATAATTTGGAAATAAATTTATGGGCTTTTTTTTTGTCTTTTTAGACAGGGTCTCGCTCTGCAGTTCAGGCTGGCCTTGAGCTCACTTTGTAGCTCAGGGTGGTCTTGAACTTGTGGAAATAAATTTAATTTCTTTTTTTAGACCATGGGTCAGTGAACCCTGGCCTGAAGACCAAATCTAACTTGACTCCTGCTTCCTTTTTTATTTTAAAATTGTTTTTATTAGTGTGTGCTTGTTGTACATACTGTTTACATTCCATGTAGGGAATTGGTACCTGTATGCAGCACATCTTAATTTCTTCTTCCATCCTCTTTCCCTTTCCACCTTCCCTCCATCCTTCATCTATCTCTTGTTTTTTTTTTTTTTTTTTTGTGTGTTTTTGTCTTTTTGAGACAGGATCTCACTATTCAGTTCAGGCTGGCCTTGAACTCACTTTGTAGCCCAGGCTGGTCTCGAACTTGCAACAATCCTCCCGCCTCAGCCTCCCGAGTGCTGGGATGACAGGCGTGCACCACCATGCCTGGCTCACCTTCTAAATTTCATGTGATCCCCTTTGTTGATTCTTGGTACTGTTGAGTCTGAATCACTGGATTGAAATATGGGCGGATAAAAACAGGATAATTGATGAGTTTTTCAGGATAAGTAGAGTCGACAGTTATGGATCAGGAAGAGTTACATAGAAAAACAAAGAGTTTGAAAGATATTTCGAATTATCAAGAAAACAGAAGGCTTGAGAATGTATATAGCCTGAGTGAAGGAAGGAGGGAGACAACAGAAAGATGGAAAGTCAGCCGGCTGTGGTGGTGTCCATCTGCAATCCCAGCCACTTGGGAAGTTGAGACAAGATTATGGAGATTATGAGTTCAAGGCCAGCCTGGGCAACTTGGGGAAACCCTTATCTCAAGAGAGAGGGAGGGGAAAGAAGAGGGGGAGAGAGGGAGGG